GACGCGTGGGACAGCGGCCACCGTGCGTGCGTGTGTGTGTGTGTGTGTGTGTGTGTGTGTGTGTGTGTGTGTGTGTGTGTGTGTGTGTGTACCTTTCTGTGGAAGTAATGCTGTCTGCGTCATCTTCTCTTGTGTAGTAAGGTGACTCTCTGGACATGTCCATGTCTCCATTCCTCCAGTGTCTGTCCCTCAAGTCTCTCCTATCAAACAAAGCACAGCCGAGCTTCCGCCTCCATTTCGTGATTGTCGTTGAACATTCTGATTTATAGATTTGGAGTTGATCTTAATCCTTGCAGGTGAACGCATTTGCAGGTTTGACAGCAATTGGTCGTTGCTTACCGCCCATGTTTGTAATGTGACGGCCTCTTGTGGGCGCGGTCGAGGAGGCCGTTGCCGACGGAGGGCCGGCGGCGATGATGATTGACAGACGACCTCGGATTGTCTCGCCGTGACACATGAGCGTCCCAATCGCCGCCGTTTGACATTTTGCCGAGAGAACCGACCCGATGGATCAGACCGCCGTTCGCCACGCCGCCGTCAACCGTGACCCCGCCCGGACCGACGGATCCTCGCCGGTCTTTGTGCGGTCCGACTGGGTAAGTCTGCACAGGTGGGGAGACAATGAGTGTGTGCATGCGTTTGAGGACGAAAAAGAAGACCCACCTCTTCCTCGTCCCTCAAGGCCTCATCCTCCTCCTCCTCTTCCTCTTCTTCCTCTTCCTCCTCCTCTTCCTCCTCCAGGTCTTCATTGAGGGCCAGACGCATCTCTGGACCGAGATCCTGCAGGGTCTTCAGACCCGCTTTACACAGCTGCAAAAGTGCAAACACACACCCGCAATAAACGCCTGACGTATGATGGCTGACCATCTGATCGACACACCTGTACAGCCGACGGGTTGGTGGCGTCGGTCTCCACACTCAGACCGCCTCGCTCCTTCCTTTTGCGGAACTTGCGGAAGTAATCTTGGATCAGGAAGGTTGCGTAGAACTTGCCAACTGTCACTTCCTCCTCTGGGGCAGGAAACACCAAAGAAAACGGTTCGAGTCTGGTCCACAGTTGAGCATTTGCTTTCTGACTTTTGGACAGTCGACCTTGAACGGCTACGCAAACCAGCGCGCTAAGTCGAGTACTAATGCCAATGTTCAAAATAACATTTGTACCTTCATGTGGGGGGATGACTTCATCCAGAAGTTTGGGTTTCATTCTCTTCCAGATCTTCTTAATGATACCCCGAAGCTCCTCATTCTCTTGATCTGGGTTGCCTAGCAACAGCACCAACAGAGCTCATCAACGGGCGGCCGGGTCGACCGTAGCGTTCGCTTCCCGCGGTTGTACCTTCGGTCTTGATCTTCAGGGCCGTGCGGACCAGCGCAAAGAGGGTGGCGTTGAAGGTCACCATGCCGTCTGCGTTCAGAGGCATGTTCATAGCCACCAGACGCTAACAAAGAGCAACTTCAGCAGTGAGCCGCCTCTTCGGCCTGAGACCGTAGCCGACATAAAAGCTGCGTGAACACGTTAGCTTGCAGTACCTTGCAGGCGACTCTGTGAGGACAAAGTTTTCCAAAGCCAAGAGGGGGTTGTATCCTCCGAAGTAGAGCCACAACGTCCAAATGTTTAATGCGACCCCTAAGAGACACCAACACAGAAATGGAAGACTCCTACGAGTTACATTTGTGCCTTGATACTGTCATGAAGACGTTTACACCTCCTGGTGGTCGTACTTGGCCTCTGGATCGTATTCTGACCAGATCCTCTTAAACTCATCCAGGTGATGTGGGCCTAGGATGGACCAGTCGCGGGTTAGGTAGTCAAAGTTGTCCATGATGACAGCCACAAACAAGTTGATGATCTGTGGATACACACATGCACATGCGTCGCTACACACATCTGGAATAAAGTACCTTCTACTGATTTCATACATTTGTCAACACGGTGGTGATTTAGGTAAAAGAAACTTACATATTGGTGTAATTACATCGTCGTGACTGGTGGCCAAGTCGTGGTACCTTGAAGTGTAGTGGTGTGTGTGTGTGTGTGTGTGTGTGTGTGTGTGCGTGTGTGTGTTGGAATAAAATAGTGGTGACTCGTGTAAAAATTTTTACTATGTTATTACTCATGTAATAACATAGTAACAACATAATTTGTGTGTTAGTGACGTGAAGTCATATTTGCATGTGTAATAACATGTGTAACAGGGATGTAGCTAATTGGTGTGTGTGTGTGTGTGTGTGTGTGTGTGTGTGTGTGTGTGTGTGCGTGCGTGCGTGCGCGCGTGCGTGCGTGTGTGTGTGTGTACACGCACAAGGAAGGCGCACAACATGAAGAAGCTGATGAAGTAAACAATGGCAAAGTTGCTCCCGCAGCTGAACTCTTCTCCTGGCTCGTAGTCGGATTCGGGATCACAGCGTTTCCCGGGAAGACTGGCGAGCATAATCTCCTGCCACGCCTCGCCTGTCGCACACCTGCACGCACGCGCACACACACAAAGCCACGTACAGTCAGGAGGCTGAATAAGAAGTGATGATAAACAGCCGACCTGAAGAGGAGGAGGACAGCCTGAGGAAAAGTCTGGAAGTTGTTGTTCCTGTTGATCTGTGTGTGATCCTGCATGGCAATCTTCCCAAACGTCTGGTGGAGGGTCGTGCAAGTCACAAACCAGAATGCAAGGCGGTCAACTTCTCTACATAATGCAAAATGGTGAAAGTTGACTCGTCACCGATGTCCTCGGTGCACTCTCACCTGCATGCCGATGACGGCGTAGATGAAAAAGATCATGGCAATGAGCAGGGCGACGTACGGCAGCGCCTGAGAAGACACCAGAACAATTATTGAACTGCATCTCATAGCCTGTTAACTCAGTAGCGGGGATTTGGGTAAAGAAAATTGTATGATCTTAATGTCTAACATAGAAATAATCTGCACTAAATAATTGTGACTTGTGAAATACAGTGCAATAGTAATGACCTGTTTAATTAGAGAGTGATGACAAGGGTGGAAAAAGTCCTACCTACTGGTGTAATAACACAGTAATAAACAGTGTAATAACACAGTAATACAGTTGTAATAAAGAATCAGACCTGCAGCGACTTGATGAAGGTCCACAGCAAGGTGCGGATGCCCTCCCCTTTGCTCAGCAGTTTGACCAAACGCATCACTCGGAAGAGGCGGAAGAAGGTGATGGACACTCGAGAGCTGTCCTCTCCGCTCTGATACACACACACACACACACACACACACACACACACACACACACACACACACACACACCGGTCTGTGGCCTGTAATGACTTGGACAAACACACACACATACACACACTAATTTTGGGCTGTTTGTTTACGTACGCTGAACTCCGTCACTACGATGTCCACCACGCTGCCAACCACGATGAGAGCGTCAAAGGAATTCCATGCATCCACAAAGTAATGCTGCACACACACACACACACACACACACACACACACGTGTGCGCGCGTTAATGCAGTTACTGTGGCAACATTGCCTGAAAAGGACATCTCACCCGGAGTCTGAGAGCTAATAGTTTGAGTAGCATCTCCACAGTGAAGAGTCCAGTGAAAACCATGTTGAGGATGTCCATGATGTGGCTGAAAGTCTTGGACTGCTCGTAGTGCTACACACGAAAAAACACACTTGTCACACACGGCCCCACGTACGGGTGCCCCGACTTCGATCCCAACTTCCCTTAGCTGACCTCAACCACCTCCTTTGACTCCACCTTTCCTCAGCTGGACTGAGCTGGACTGGCCCCCCTTGAGCCCCACCTTTCCTCATCTTACCCGGTCCGCCCCTGTTCTGGCTTAGCTCCCCCCCCCGCCCTTTCAGCCCCGCCTTCCCACGGCTCCACCCACAGGTGTTTACCTGGACGGCGAGCGTGACGGTGTTGAGCAGGATGAGCACAAACATGACGTACTCGAAGGCCGTGGAGTTGATGATGGACCAGAACTTGTACTGGACCGGGTTCTTGGGGATGTAGAGCTTCAGGGGCTGAGCCTTCAGAGCGTATTCCACACATTGACGCTGAGGCGGACGACATGTGACGTCAATGGAGGACGAAGTGTAACGAAATGTAAGTGTGTGTGTGTGTGTGTGTGTGGGGGGGGGGGGGTGTCACCTGGTTCTTGTCCAGTTCACAGTTTTTGTACTCCTGCTCGCCCTGCTCCCTGAATGTGATGATGACGAAACCCACGAAGATGTTCATCATGAAGAAGGCAATGATGATGATGTAGACGATGAAGAAGATGGAAATTTCCACGCGGTAGTTGTAGATGGGACCCGAGTTCTCCCCGTTGGCGTCGATGGCCTTGTAGAGCAGACTGAGGGTGGGGTGGGGGGGAGGAGCTTTAAAAGTTAGAAAACCACTACTACTGCGCACGCACACACACAGACGCAGTGACAGAGCGCTTACGCAGGCCAGCCCTCAAAGGTGGACACAGTGAAGAGCGCCATCATTCCCATGAGCACGTTGTCAAAATTGAAGTCACTGTTGTGCCAAATTCTTTCCCGCACCATCGGATGATTCACGTCTCCGTCTTTGTACACCACAAACGTCCCTCTGCATGGACCAACACACGTGCACACAAACGGGTCATGTCATGGTGATTTATCCCCCCCCAAAAAAAAAGATGTTAAAATTGGCCGTACTTGCACTGCTCAGGAGTGTGTTTGGCCTCATCGGTACACCGATAGAATTTACCCTGATGAAACAACGAAACCATTTGTGATCAGTTACGCAGAACGCAGTACTTGTCCCTAGGTGTGGTTGCGAGCGCGGGTGGTTGTTCGGCTACGTGTGCCCTGGCGACCAGTTGAGGGTGTGCCTGCCCGACTGCCCGAAGGCGGCTGGGATAGTCTCTGGCAAGGCCATGACCCTCGTGAGGAGAAGCGGATTACACCACGGATGGACGGACGGATGGATGTCCTACTTGCGGTTCGGTTTGGATGAGAGTAAAGCGCGGTGGCATTTGGAAGCGGACTCTTCTCACCTTGAACAGTTGGACGCCAATGCACGCAAACATGAACTGGAGCAACGTCGTCACGATCATAATGTTCCCGATGGTCCTGATGGCCACGAACACACACTGGACCACGTGCTGTGACACACGCAAACACACACACGCACGCAGAAACATACACAAAGCTTCATCATCATCATCATTATTAAATTAAGTGAAGCTGGAGAATGCCCGGCAGCCATTTTGACCAGCACGCCCATTCGCTTACCTTGAGGCCTTTGGCTCTGTTGATGGCCCTCAGGGGCCTGAGCACACGAAGGACCCTCAGGATCTTGACCACCGAGATGGCGCTGGAACTGCACATACCAACACACTCGCACGATGCTCGAAAACGCAAGAAACATTTGGCCAAATTGCTGATTCAACTGACAAGCTGGCTGGCCGGCTTCGCTATTTCATGTTAGCCTAGCGTATCTGCTGCTAAGATATCGATCATTTGATTGATTGATTGATTGATTGATTGAATAGTGATTTGGAACGTTCTCTGCATCACCGTGAGAGGTTTACCACCCTGCTTTCTCCATGGACTTCTGGTGGAATCTTCCATCTTGCTGCTAATCACTTTCAAGATGGCCGACGACATGTTGGGTGGCAATGCTAGCTAGCTATTCCTCTGCTAATTTGGTGCCTATGAAGCAGCAGCCGGGAGTTTAGGTGCCACTTTAGGCGGTCACGAAAAGCGGCCCCAATTTGTATATTTTTCAGCAAATATTTTGAATTCTTCCTGCATAAACTTTGATTGACAAAAGAGAGTGAGTACTGACTGTAGGAAGAAAGAGACGAGTGAGACGCTGACGACGAGGAGATCCAGCAAGTTGAACCAGTTCCTGCAGAAGGAACCCTGGTGCAGGAACGCTCCGTGAACCGTCATCTGGGGCAAAGGCGGGAAGTGAGCCAGCAGCAAAAAAGCAAACCCGCGTGCGTCGTCACGCTGGCTACCTTGAACAGGATTTCCACGGTGAAGATGGAGGTGAAGGCGTAGTCGGCGTAACCTAAGACCTGGACACAAGCCATGTTCATTCGTAAATGGAAAACAACCATTTCAAATAGCAAATGAATACATGCGATCAATATTTCTTTATCCCCGCAGCATGGTGGGGAGGGGTTAGCCGTTAGCGTCTCCGCCACACAGTCAGTTCGAAGGTCTGGGGTACCAGTCACAGTTCAGACATCGCCTGTGCGGCGTTTGTATGCTTTCTCTGTGCTTGCTCGGGTTTTCTTCAAGTACTGTGACATCCGCTGCTCCACATTCTCAAAACATGCAAAATTGTGAGGATGAGAATAGGAGAGTAGATGATCATCTTTATATGTGCTCTGCGATTGGATCGTCGAGAAGGTAGATTGTGAGGGAAAAAAACTAAAGTCCAGAACTGCGGATTGATGTTGCTGGTGATCGCGGGGGAGATGAAAGGCGGGAGCGACAATCCAGATCTGATCAGTGTGTTGCTGGGGATTGTACGGTGAACAGAGGAGCTGGGTTGCGGAAACGAGGTTGGCAACCGCTGGCGGAGTACGCTCAGGCCGTGGAAAAGAGTGGGCCTCCTCCCGCCGTTCTGTGAGGGGGCAAGGTGGCCATGAGCGGAGTTAAGGCTCTTTTACGGCGGGGAACTCGGCATCAACCGACTGCGACAGGTCCTGTGGAGAGCCACGTCATTTTTGGAAATGGCCTCTGATGTTGTGTGAGTCCAACGGGTGACGAATGTTGCTGCTGTTGAGTTGTGTGATCGTGATCGTGATCGTTGATTTGATTTTTCGTGACCCGTGGTCTTCTGAAAGCTCTTCCAGACGCTTTTGCGATTGAGGCCTACGTACAGTCAACAAAGAAGTGGATAAGATGGGTTGTGGAAACGACTCCACGACGAATCATTTACAGATCGAGAAGGTATTCTGAAGTGCAGAGGTTTGAAGTAGCATGACAGTCAAACCTCGTTACGCCGTACCTGGAGGGACATCACGAATCTGTAAGTTCCAACGGTATAATAACGTACAGATTTGTTCCGATATTTTGTTCCTAAAACAAGGTCGTGGCGGCAGTTCGCTTCCCACGGTTGGTCGTAGTCAAGGCCTTTTCACTATTTTGTGAGGAAAATCCGGTCGTTATCATGACGTTTACATTATAAAGGTGTTGAACTACATGAAATCAGGACTGCGAAAATTGTGAAATCATGAAATGTGAACATTGCGGAAACGTAAACGGGGTACGTTGAAAAGTGGTTGGTCTGTAGCACTCTGAGCGATGTAACACTCCTGGGGGAAAATGGTCTGTTTGACTCGTGGGAATTGTCGTTTGTGAAGTCGACTCTGCGTACATCAACCAGCCATGAATGTAGGCCTCCGCGCACCCACCCAAAGCTAACATCTGTGCAATTGCCGGGCTCGTTGCGTGAGGACAGCTGCTGCTGCTCGCCATGTGCGTGCACGTCTGGGCTTGGTGATGTTTGTGTCAGCTGCTGACCCACTTCTGGAATAATCCGCTCAATCCACTGGCATGGAGACCTCCTGGGCTTCCGCCTTAGATGGCCATCTCTGTTGACTTTTTTTTGGGTCCCCGCAGCGCACTTGTGTTTTTTTCGAGTGGGGAACGACGGGGGAGGACTTACATTGTTCCGGAAGGAGTGCGCCCTGATGGGATCCTCAGCGGCCAATGAGCATGAGCTGAGGATGATGAAGACCAGGATGAGGTTGGTGAAGATGTGGTGGTGGATCAAAGTGTGGCACGCCACTCGGATGCTGGAGACACACACACGCGCACAAAATACGCACGCATCATGGGACATCTTTGAAGCCGGCATATGGCGAGCGGGAAGGCAAACCCACGGGTTGGTCTTGCTGAGGCAGAAGAAAGCGCTGCCTTCTGGGATGGGAAGAACCTTTTCCTTGGGTGGTGCCAGGTCAGCCATCTTCAGCTGCACGCCGCCGTCTGGTGGGAGGCCGCAAACGGTACGCGTGTTATGCTCTCAGAATGGGCATGAGAACGAGATGATGTCATCACGTTATCATGCGGCATGGAGTCATCTCACCAACTTTGCCCTCAGGATGGACTTCCTCTTCCTTGCACTAACTCGCTCATGGTAAAACACGCATGGTCACACACACACATGATCACACGCACATGATGACACTGTATGACGCCGTCTCACCATCTTCGCCTTCCGGTAGCTCCTCCTCTTCCTCGTACTCGGTGTCTTCATCAATGTCCACCTGCGGGCACGAAGTTAAAAAGTGAACGAGGAGCGCCAGATGAAATCACAGTCGGGACCTTCAGCATCACCTTCACTTCCTTCTCCTCCTCCTCCGCCTCTTCGTCCGTTCCGTCCGTCTTTTTCCTGCATGAAGACAAGCAGCAGGCTGTCAGCCTCGCTT